GATTTTATGAGATTCAGATGTGTTATTAATCCCTGATGGTCAATTCAGTCACACAGCCTTTAGAGTCTTATTAAAAGAAGTCAAGACAAAGTAAAGAGTTACATTTACATGCCAGTAACAACAGGTCACCAAAGGAGATAACAATCTATTTAAAAAAATACAATGTCAGAAATGTCTAAGGTGATCCTTAAAACCAGGAGGTGACTATCCTTCCATGTAGTTTTAAATTGTGACTTTAGGGCACCATCCATTCAGGGTTGATTAGACCAATTTCATATTTTACTACAGATCAGGTCTGTGAGATTGAGTGGTTATAGTTCACTCTCAGGTATGCTGCAAGAGTTCAGCCAAGTATGAATTTCTAATCTGGCTTTCTTTTTTCTTTACAGCATCGAAAGGCAGCCAAAATATTTACACCGATTGTTGTACCCATCGTCTTATCTCTTGGTGTTGTTTTGGCTATAATTTGAATTCATCATCGAAGGAGAAAACAAAGTAAGTTAAGTTTGCATTTAAACTGAATTTAAATGTGAAATCAGAAAATCCTTATTGTTTACATCAAACTGAATTGACCCTTTAGATGAGTACATTCTTCTCCCCTGTGTTGATGTTTTTATTATCATTCAAAAGACGTCCCTTATGAGTGAATCCTCTTATCAGGGCGATCTGATAAAGACAGCGCAGCAGTTACACTTAGAAGCCACACCTTAGAGTTAGAATAAATAAACAATTTACAATGTTAACAAAATAAATCACATGTAAAGAACTTTTAAATTCACATGAATTTATAATATTTGAGGATGGCAATTCACAACTGTTTATCATTATAAAATGTTTATGCATTTTGATTGCATTCATTACTATTAATAAATTAACAGAATACATTTTTCAATGTAGAAAAGTGACTCTCAAAATCACACCAAATAAATCCAGAACAGAATCAGCTCCAGTAATGTTAATGTAGTTTCAACATGTTTCTTTATGACTGATCTGCAGATAAAGCAGAGAACATGGAAAATACAGTCTATGAAGATCCTCAGTTAAGGAGGAATATTTTTTAATACCAATTTCCCAAATTAGTCAGAAGTGAAGAAATTCTTGAACAAATTAATGATTGAGAACTGATGTGAAGAGACAGGCCAGAGACATTACTGTTTTCAAATTCCTCACTAGCTCTTGTTTTTTGAAACTTGTTTTCCCCTTATTTTTTGCAACTTCACAAAAGTGGCGTCTTTGCAAAAACAACAAATGCAGGTTCTGCAAGGTGCTGTGGGCTCAGAAGTCTGTGTACTATTATTGAGATCAGGCCAGTGTTGAAAATAAAGCCCATGTGGAAGTGCCCAAAACTGCAGCTCCTGAGGGCTGACAAATACCCATTTCCACCCCATATTAAAATGTCCGTTTGTACTAAGTGCTGACAGGCTGGTATAAAGAAAACCACAGCTCATTTCTAGATCCATGACGACTTCTTCCCAACAGTTGTAAATGTATTAAACCTTTGAAGTTATGGGGTGTTGTGGTTCTGTGTTGCAGGTTGAACCGAATAGCTTTCTGATTGACATCAAACCAGCAAATTCAGTCACAGAACTTAAAGGGACACTTCACCCGTTGAAACATGAATCTGTATTGACATTGGGTCATATATGTTGTAGAAATGTGAAATACATTTTGAAGTTGGTGCCTTCTTGGCAGAAAGGCAGAAAGTGACTTTTTGGCTCATGTGGATGAAAGACACCAAATCCCAGAATGCACAGCACCACAGGCCACTCCCACTAAGGTCCTCTAGTTCAGAATCAGAAATACTTTATTAATCCCAGAGGGAAATTTGATCGATACAGTTTCTCCAACATATAAAATATAGCAGTAGAAATAAAGTAATAAAAACATTTACAGACATATTTACTTCAACACATAAGACCATTTCCTCAACTGATTCAGAGATTTCTTCCAGAATTGATCTTGGAAATTCCTGACAGAAAACAGACTCTATGTCTGTGTCCATAGACAAACAGTGAGAGCACCGACACTACCAGTCCACCCCAACTCGAGCCGGCCCGGGGTCCTCGTCCTCACCGCCGCCGACAGGCAGGCCTTATGTCTCGGCTGCTGAGCTGGCAGCGGCCAGCGGTCTTGTGTCGCGGCGGCCCCAGTGCCTAGCGGTTAGCAGCCGTCTCGCCGCTATATTTGTATTTTCTCGCCATTATCAGCTTTCTCCATAGAGCCTGTTAGCATAGCTTCCAATCAATATGGCGGACGTTAAGTTTCGATTCTGGGAGTGAGTTCTCACCCACTGATCTGTGATTGGTCTGTAGCTTCAGTGGTTGAAAATATGAGGAACTAGCGTTGTAGTTTCACACCGCTAGCAGCTTCCAGTGACACAAAAATCTTCATTTTGCGTCACTGGAAACTCCTTTTCAGACTCAGAAATACAAAGATTTCCCATCTCAGGGGAAAATGAGGGCGGGATGCACGGCCATTCAAAAACACTACCAGGTTTCTAATGATACAAAGATTAATGCAAATGGGTGAAGTATCCCTTTAATGACCTGACTGTAACTGAGTCTTTGTGGGATGTTTTCTCAGTCACAAATCGGACAAATAATGTAGCAGTAGCTTTCTGTGATAAATTGTACTAACATGCTTTTCAAGAAGTCTGGACTGAAGCAACAGTTTTTATCTTCTCACTTAATATGAAGGATTATATGTCTGTTAAGGAGTTCATGGGCTGTTATTTATTTCAGTGCTAATACATTATAATAGCCCAATTTGAAAATCGCATATCAAATAGCAAAATAACCATTCTTATGTTGTGTGTTAAAGTGAATACAGACCTCCCTCTGCAGCCGAGACCAACAAATGATGCCCCAGCTGGTCCTCCACCCTACATCTACTCCATCGTCTCTGAAGCACCCACTCAGCCCAGAGACAATGCTCAGCCAGAGAGCCTGTATGCAGAGGTGTAAAAACTTCCAAAGTCCTGAAACAGTTCACTATGATGTCTTCAACACACTTCTCTTGCAGGAATGATCACTTTAGTTTAGTTTAGTTTAGTATCAGTGAAGGACTTCTGACTGCGTCTTTTTTTTCTGTGCGTTGGTCGTTGACTAGCTACTTGAGTCATGCAATGAAGTTAAAAGACCCAACTACAGTCAGATTGCTGATTTTATTATGAATTATAACAACAAGCACCTTCTGACTGGAATCATTTGCCAGATAACCTGTGAACAATTAACTTTTCTTTTAAAAAATGAAGTCGCCCTTCCACTGCTTCCAACCCTAATGTCTTCCTGCTCCCTTAATAAGGAGGCTTCTGATTGTACAGTAATCTTTGTAATTACCGTCATTGGTAAGTTTGTCAATACTTATAATTTATGATATTGCAACAAAACAGTTCTTGTTTCTATTTGAAGTCCAAATGGTATTATTCATCAGCAGATTTAAATGTACATTCATTGATGAATACCCTCTTGAGATGAATCATCTCGTTTTCAAGGGAGGTCCAACCCACCAGGGCATTCATTCTGTATCGCTACTCCACCCACACAACGTAAACAGGCACGAGATTTCACATCACATATTAACTAATAACATTATATGTTTATAGAGATCATTTATGTCACATGCTATATGGAGACACCTTTGCTGTTAACAATCAGTTGACACATACAATAGAACTGTTTTGATGTAGATATTTTATTTTTTTAAATTACTTTACTGTATATATTTCAAATGTTACGATCTATTTTTTTTTACATAGTTTTATTGCTAATTTCTGTTTTGGCTAATATTTGATCATCTTGATGCTTCTTATCAAATGTTTCTTTAAACCTTAATGTGAATAAAGTCTTTTTAATTTAAAGCTACAGTGAGGATCTTCTGGTTTGTGTCAACCTTATAGCACCTTGTGGATAAAAGAAAATAAAAGAAATCTAATCCAGCTCCTCCATAGTGACTTGTCCATGATGATCTCTTCAGCTTGTGTAGCTCATAAAGAGGCTTCAGTATTAATCTCAGTCTGTTACATAACCAGTTAATAACTCCTCACAGGAGCTTTAACAGACATTTAAAGAATGAGTGAATAAGTTTACTGCTTCACACTGAACTTCATGTCAGCAAAAAGAAACAATAAAGTGAATTAACACCAAACACATCAAACTCTCTCACCTATTAGCCATTATCCATCCAATATACCGACGAGTACAATATATTTACAATGCTTTTGTTATTACTGAGGGTCCAGAAAGGAGGCTTCACATCATATTATAGAGTAAGAGTTTATTACTGAGGGTCCAATATGATGCTTGGACAAATACTGTGAAATATAATGGATTAATATTTTATAATTATCATTAATAATATTATAAATAGGACAAATGACATTACAAATATTGCATTTTATGTTTTTCTACAGACAACATCCTCAAAAACCGTTTTACATCAACTCTGAGCAATGAATGTATTTACAAGAGGCCAAGGTAAACAATTTAATTCAAGAAATAAAATCATTTTGCCCTGTGATTAACTGGGAACAGTCCAGGGTTTACCCCGCCTCTCAGCCAATGACAGCGGGGATCGGCTCCAGCCCCCCCGCCCGCGACCCCGAATAATGGATGGAGGGAAATGATAGCATTGTGTGATGGATGAACTGTGTGTATAGTAAAGAAACAATGTGATTGCTTTATATTTACATACATTTTATTGATTAAAAAGGTCTTTATAATATGTCTATGAAGCTTTACAAAAGTGCTGAGTCACTTCTATCCTAATAAACTTTAGAAGTCAAAGCAGAATTGTACAGGTATTTTTACTCTCTTTATTATTTGCATCCATGTTTGCTGATATTCTTCCTCTGCCTCCTCAAACTACATTTCTCTGTGTTTTACCGCCACCAACAGTCCATCAGTGGAATAGCATGAAGTCTGTGAAATAAGTGTGTATATACCACCGTGCCCCCTGCAGACTCACATACACACAGCTTAAACACAACAAGGTCACACATGTTCAGTCAAAAAAAGATAACAAGTCGCTCCATTGTGCTACTAGTGGTCAAACTCTCCACAGAGGATTGTTGGGGGAGAGGTGGTTGTTTATTTTTTCTTCTTAAGCTTCTCTACGACGTGAACACTGATGACGGCACACATCATGATGACCAGACCGATCGAGACCACGTATATCTTCAGCCTGTAGATAGAGAAACCAACCCCAGATATCTCTGGACCAAAAAAAAAAACATTGTTTCATTAGAAAGGTGACGCAAACCGATCTTCAACAAGAATGTGATTCAACAACAGGACAGGGTGCAGCAAGTCAGTTGTTCCTCTTTTTGCATACTGACAGCATTTAGCTTTACATTCAAGAAAGAACTCGACAGTTTGTGATGATCAATGTTGGTCTGGTTTTAAAGGGGACATATTATGAAAAATCCACTTGTACAGTGTTTTTGAACATTTATTTGGGTAACCTGAGTGTCTACCGACCCACAAAATGTAAAATAAACCCATCCAGTCCTTTGTTTGTGGTCTGCATAAGTCTTACAACACAGAGAGAAATGCTCTGTTTCACATTTGCTCTCCTTGTGACATCACAGTGGGATTCTGGTAAAAACCACCAAAACGGAGCGTTCTGAGAGAGCTGGTTTATACAGGGTCACAAACCTCCTCTGGTGCTTGATTCATGTTATATTTTAATCAAAGCACAGCACAGATGTTTCATTTAGACCACTGAGGGACTGTTTGAAAAGAGGGAAAAGGGGGATAACATGTCCTCTTTAATGGCCATTTTAGTGTCAAATCAAATAATCACATTCAAGTGTCAGCCTGAGCTCAGTATTTAATGATGATGATGGTGAAAAGAAAAAAGGAAGTTCTTCATGTTTGCCTCTCTCTATGATGACCAAACTAAACCAGATCAACAATGACCATAGGATTTTACCAGCCACAGTTTAACAGAACATGAGTCGACAATAAGAGAGGAGGAGATTTGTTAGAAACTTCAGGACAGGATTAGATGCATCGCTTCATCTACGGAGGACGCAGAAAGAGTTCTCTCCAATGTTTTGGATTTGGACTGCAGTACCCGTTTTAAACACTAGGTGTCAGAGTTACACCATTAAAGTCATAGTGCAGAATAAATGATCTTTTCAACTTTAAAAAGAAAATGTATGATCTTGCCTATTTAACAGTCATAGTTAAGCCATAGTTAATTGATATAGCAAATCAATTTTTTTTTTCTGGAACATTCAATGATTTCTGTTTATTAAAAAATATCATGGACTGAGATAACTCTGCATTACAAATTGGGCCATGAAAATGTCAACATTGGTTGGTCTTTAATCGTGACCTTATTTCTGTCTCCTAGGCAATTCTTTCTTGCAATATTAATAATATATTTTATTATTATTTTATAAAAAATCTAGCGAAAAAATCATATTGTTTCATCAAAAAAATTTGATCTGTTGTTTTTTTATTTAGGCTACAATCCACACTGGTTATTAGCATCAAATTGTAGTTATTAACTCTTACCGTCAGGCTTTCTACAAAAGTCTTCAATCTTTTGGATGTCCTTTGTAGAGCTGACCTGGTTGCTATGGTTACAGATGACTGAGCCGTTCTCCAGGTAGACGTCCAGAGAAGCACCAGGTGTGATGATCTCTGCTCGCTCTCCTCCCTCGTGAGAGCAGGTTTGTGTGTCACATGTGAACGTGTTGTTGATGAGAGAGTCCTCAGTGCTGCAGATCACTGTGACGTTAGTGGAGTCTGAGCTGCAGAGTTTCACTGTCAGCTTCACTCCAGACACTGGATCTGCAAGAAGCAAAGCAAGTGTGATGACTTTTTTTAAAACAGGGAACGACTCTGTATCAACATTTTCAAATTAAAGAAACGTACCCAGAACTGTGACGCTGTATTCAGCTACAGTGATGTCTTTGTCACCAGAAACACTTGCTCTGTAAACTCCACTGTCCCCCTTTTGTACGTTCTTTAACAGTAGAGAGTGATTTTGTGCAGACAATTCTGCTCTCGATGTATAATTTGAGGAAATGGTTGGTTTACCACCATGAACTAGTCTCACAACATTAGCTCTGCCAACAGTCCACATAAATAAATCCCTCCTTCAGAACAACAGGTTTCTTCACTTCCAGAAGTAAATCTGTTCCTGTCTGCACAAACACAGGAGTCACTGCAGAGAGAAGAGAAATAAAAATCATGTGTATGATTAAAAAACACTTGAATCAATATTTCCATGTTAACAATGTTTCACTTGTTTACTTGTATTTTAAAGTTCTTGACAAACACAGAAAATGATCACCTGACTGAAGGTTAAAAACACAAACCTAAAACAGGAATGAGTCTTGGACTTACATTCACATTAATACATTTATATATCATATATTTTATTATTAATTATATATAATTAATGACCAGGTCATCACTAATTGCATTGATTGATTGAAGTCTCTATTTCGAACATGTACTTTCTTTTTTATTGTCAAAAAAACAAAACAAATAAACCTATAAAAGAATCGTGCGTAAGAAAACAAAAAAATCTAGTTACATGTTTGAAAAGGAGCGGGAAGAATACTTATTATTGTTGCTTTGTTAGGGACTGTTTCTTTGCATTTATCCCTCTAACACTTTATATTTTAATTGATCTAATTCTCTGTTGTGTTTTTTACACTGTTCTCTTGCTCTAATTTTGGAGCCATCTACTATATATCCCTATAAATAAAGTTTCTTATCTTATCTCGTCTCGTCTCACACCTGTGTAAGAACTCAAAGCTGTGAAAACAAATACATTATTGTCTCGTCTCGTCTTATGGATATCTTATCTTGTGCTCAGTGATAAAATTAGGCATTTTTTTCCTCTTATTTCAGAGAACCAGGTTCTTTTTAAAACACTGAAGCTTCATCAGCGTGCTTTCAGAGTGAAACTGTTTTAAGTCTCAAACTTTTATAAATATATACAAAGACACTGAAACATTTACTGTAATAAAGGTTTTCCACTTTGTCATTCCTTCATGCAAATTCTTTAAAATCTGTCCCTCTTTCTTAATATGTCATCACTTAGATTACATTTATTACAGATACAAACACACAAACTGATAAAATCATGTATCGCAAGTGAAGCTCATATTTATTTGTAATCATGAATTCAAACCTGAGGTCACTTCATGTTGATCTGTAAATTAGACGGAGCAGAGAAGTCTTTTTCAAGTGGCCGGGAAAACAGTTAGCTTACATCTTTTTATAATATACTACATTGTTTGCATCACTCTTGCAGTATTATGTTTACCGAACATAAAAACTTCAAAAATAAATCTAAGTTGTCTTAAATTAAATAAAATAGTGAAACTGTTTCTTTTTGAAAAGACTCATTCCTGTTCTCTAATAAAAAGTGAGATTATACCCTCAACTAGTGAAATGTTAAATATTGAATATTGAGTACTGAATAATTGACAGGGTCTGTTTATTTTGTTGCAACATAACCCCTGTGCTCCGTTCTCTCCACTGGCTTCCTGTTCGCTACAGGATTTTATTTTACTTCTGGCTTTTAAATCATTAAATGGCTCAACACCTCATAACCTAAGTGAACTACTACATGTTCATGCTCCATCCAGAGCACTAAGGTCCTCCAACCAGCTGCTCCTGGACGTGCCCAAAACAAGGCTCAAAACTACGGGCGACCAAGCCTTTTCTGTTGCAGCTCCGACACTTTGGAACAGATTACCATTTAAAATAAGATCTGCTGCCACAACTGAACAGTTTAAGTCATTTTTTAAAACCCATTTCTTTTCCTTGGCTTTTTTCTCTAGTTGAGTGTTTTATCCCAGCAGCAGTGTCTACTAGAACTTTTACTATTGTCTTGTGTTTTAATTACTTTTAATTTTTGCTTTTACGTGTCTTTATGATGTTTTGGATGTAATGTGTTTTGCCTAATTTACTGTAGAGCACTTTGGTCGCCTCGGCTGTTATAAATGTGCTATATAAATAAAGTTGACTTGACTTGAGTTGAACTGTTTTCCCCCTAATCTGTCTGTAGTTACAGGAGATGATCACATGATTTAACTTTTAGTTTTGTTATTTGTCCTTTTCCCCACAAATTAAAAGTAATAATTATTCTCATTATTATAATAATAAGATGATGTTCTTCTCCTACCTTGTGCCTGGATGCCAGCCAGCAGACCCAGAATCATAAAGATGAACATGATAGAGCCTCTGTTGTTCTGGATGCCACAACGTGTGTGTTCTGTTTCACTGTTACAAACACACCACAGGGTTAGAGTGAGTCAACCTCAGGATGTCAGCCTTTTTTTTTTATCTTCTCTCTGAGCTCCATTTCATTTCTCTTGATGAGTAGAGTTTGTTACTGTAGGTCCTGAGGTCAAAATGGATGAAAGATTATAAACAAGTGGACTTTAGTATGGTTGATCAAATCCTGTTGGACTCTTTCAGAGATTTTAATGAAAATCAGTGTTATGGAGCACATTGTCTCCAACAATGTAGATTATTTTTGATATATGTTGATGTCTACGCCGAGAGGAAGGTGAACCTCTCACTCGAGAGTCAGTGTTTATGTAGAAAAATATAAATGATTTAGTTCTCTTAATGTACTTTGTTAATATGACTCTGAAAAGACTAAATCTAATTCATGAATTGAACTTGATCTTTTCCTTTGTTCAATCTTGCTCGATTCATTCCAGGGGAGGTGAGATTGATCACATCTTCAGTCAATCCAGCACTGATTACAGAGCTCCTCTCTGATTGGCCCAAGAGGACAGGTAACAGAATATTAAATGTGTGTCAGATCAGCAGACTGGTTGATGTTTGTCACGTTTGAGAAAGTTGTCTGCTCTCTCACACTGTCTGCCATATAGAAGTACAACAATCAGCACTGTAACTTGTTTTTCTTTGCTCCCTTCAGAGGTCATTGTTTCATCTTGTGTTTTTGAGACATTTCAAAGGAAAAAAGGATCCAACTTGAGGATTCAAATCAAGAGAAATAAACCTTCAACTCACAACATTGAAGGGTGGAAAGTGTAGTTATGTCCGTGTATTAGTTCAGAATTTACGTCATGTTGCTTCTCTATCAATGTGGTTAAAACCACTCCTTTGTTCTCTCACGTTGGTCTGGATTTAACATGTTGTGCATTTCCTGTGTGCAACATAAAGAAGACTGAACTTTTAGAGTTCCATCTGAAAACAAACACATTTAATGAAAACAGAACAAGCAGATGCATGAGTAACTCATTTATTTGACCTGATCATACTTTTTAATAACACTTAATTTATCTGGCACTTTTCAAAACAAGGTTACAAAGTGCTTTACACAATGAAAATAAAATCAAATAGAAGAGAAATGTGAGGAAGCGAATGATTAAAAAAATCAATAATAAAAAATAGTGGGAGATTAACCAACACGAGTTCCACAAATGGTAATAATGAAAAGGAGTTTTGTTGTTGAGCTAAATTGTTTTGCCTCTCTATCTGGATTGAAACCAAACTATGAAAAATGTTGTATTCTTAAACTTGAATCATTGAAGGAAAAAAGTGTTCAGACACCGTGCCAGGCTCCTGTTAAATGATCAAATGTCTTTTAGGAATACATATTCCAGCTGATAAAACTCTGTTAGTAAAGTGAGTGGGTTAGGGTCAATAACATGAGGCGGGCTAATGACGTCACTTCAGGGGTCCCTGATGGAGAAGACCTGGTCACCTTTGGTCCTCAGCCTCGATTGTGGAATGGCGAGCAGTGCTTTGGCTGATTGATGACCTCAGGTTACGACCGGGCATGTAAGTAGATCAGATATTTACTTTGGTGCTAGTCCAGAGCGTGCTTTATAAGTGAACAAAAAACCCTTAAAATCAATTCTAAAATGTACTGGGAGCTAATGAAGGGAGGCTAAAACAGGAGTGATGTGGTCTCTCTTTTTAGTTTTGGTGAGGAGTCGGGCTGCTGCGTTCTGGACCAGCTGTAACTTGTGTAGACTCTGTTGATATAGACATGTGTACTGAGAGTTACAGTAATCTAAACGAGAGGAAATAAAAGCATGTATTACTGTCTCTAAGTTGTTCTACATGAAACTGAACCAGCGTTGTAGAGTCACTTCTATCCTAATAAACTTTAGAAGTCAAAGCAGAATTGTACAGGTATTTTTACTCTCTTTATTATTTGCATCCATGTTTGCTGATATTCTTCCTCTGCCTCCTCAAACTACATTTCTCTGTGTTTTACTGCCACCAACAGTCCATCAGTGGAATAGCATGAAGTCTGTGAAATAAGTGTGTATATACCACCGTGCCCCCTGCAGACTCACATACACACAGCTTAAACACAACAAGGTCACACATGTTCAGTCAAAAAAAGAAAATAAAACAAGTCGCTCCATTGTGCTACTAGTGGTCAAACTCTCCACAGAGGATTGTTGGGGGAGAGGTGCTTGTTTATTTTTTCTTCTTAAGCTTCTCTATGTTGGGCCACGCAGGCTTAAGACAGGCAAACAATGGACTTGGGCCTGCATCTCTGTGAGAAGCCTCATTTGAGTTATTCACTGAGATCACAAAAAGACCTAAAGGACTGACTCTCTCAGTACAATCAGTTCAATAAAGTGATTCGTTCACCGAATCGTTCAGTACTTCTCTGCAGCTCTGTCTGTGAATCAGAATTTTATATATATATATATATATATATATATATATATATATATATAAAATACATATAATTGTACAGAAACAAAGCTGCCAATAAACTTTAAACTGTACACATTATGTGACTGAATATAATTTTATTTTCTGCCAGTGTTTGATATGGACAACCACTGTGCTATGTGCTCGACCTCAAAGCCCCCAGGATCAGGGCCTGAAATGAATACTCAAATGTTAATTTTTACAGTGTTTAATAAAAGTTTATACAGTGACAATAAGAGGTTATGAGAGGATTCTAGATTTAAGTTTAGTCAGTAAGAGGACAAAGGATTTCCAAACTGGTTATGGTTTTCCACCTTGAAACAGGGTTATTGACTCTTCAGAATCAGAATAAAAACACAAGATCTCCTGCTGACAGCTTAAAAAGAACAAGATAGAAATATAAAAAGCAATAAA